GGGGAGGGATCTCTGAAGGTGAACTATCTCCTGATGGGAATGGATCCGAAACTTGATCAAGGCTAGAGGGTTCGGGGGCGGCAGAAGCCCGTGGTGTTGTGCCCCCTGGGGGTGGCGTCCCAGGGGTGCTCAGGAAGTCACTTGGGTATGGGACCCCACTTTGACTCACTGATCACTCGGTCACACACCACATTGCTTATTTCTGCACAACGCCTCTTGGACAGGCCTTATGGCTAGTCCGGGGCAATTTTTTTGCACTCGGCCCCTAAGGCCTGTCAGCGTGGTGCACTGGCACTTTATTATTTATGCACTCTATGCACGTTTGCACGATTGGCTTTTTTTGAAAAGCATTGACCCACAGATGCTGAAGGTGCAGGTTTCTTCGGGGCCTATTCCTGATGCTGGGAGGAGATTCTGTGCCTCCTACGGGGTTCTCTGTCTCCTCCCACCCAGGAGGGGGGTTTCTCTTCGGGAGATCCCCCCTGCCTAGTACTGTGAGGGACCTGTTTCGGCAGGTCCCCGACGGAAACGGTCCACCGGCCTTCGGGTTGGTGGTCCGACAGTCTCAACCCCTGTCAGGAGCCTTGCGCCCCGGGGGGTCGGGAAAGTAGGTCCCTTCTTTGGAAGGACCTTGCACCCTTGTGCACGTTTTTGTGTGCTGTGATTTCACGGTTCACTTTTTTTGTTCACAGGGGGAAGTTTGTTTTGATGCACGTCCACGGGCTTCGAAAGAAAAATGCACCCCTGATTACATACCTACCTGTGTTCCCTTATGTGTCACACACCTGTCTGTGTTCTCTATGTGTCATACACCTGTCCGTGTTCTCTGCGTGTTACACACCTGTCCGTGTTCTCTGCGTGTTACACACCTGTCCGTGTTCTCTGCGTGTTACACACCTGTCCGTGTTCTCTGCGTGTTACACACCTGTCTGTGTTCTCTATGTGTCACACACCTGTCCACTTTACCTGTATGACTTTATATACAGGTATGATTAAGTTTGGACAGCGGGTTGCTGTGGTTAGAATCTCAGGTGTATGTGGACATGTGGGGTTGGGAAGCATGTACAATGCAATGACCGGAGCCCCTGCTGTTCCGATGTGGTGTCCTGCAGCCAGGGACAGATGACCGTTCTGCATCAATGATATGTCACATGTGCGCCGCAGAGCTGTCATGTAATGCCTATAAATCCTAGATGTGATTTTCTGGCCGTGACTCTCACTGACTGCTCAGTATTGGGGTTTGTCTTCTGGGAGCGCAGAGATCGGGTCTTAAGTGATTCGGTTTTTATTGCAGGTATTTAATCAAGTTTTTTGCAAAGTTGGCAGAACACCAAGAAGTGAACAAAATGACACCAAGTAATATTGCGATAGTGCTGGGCCCCAACCTCCTGTGGGCCCGAAGTGACGGGTAAGTCCATTCACACTACGAGGTCCAGTCCTCTATGTGGTCCAGTCCTCTATGTGGTCCAGTCCTCTATGTGGTCCAGTCCTCTATGTGGTCCAGTCCTCTATGTGGTCCAGTCCTCTATGTGGTCCAGTCCTCTATGTGGTCCAGTCCTCTATGTGGTCCATTCACACTACGAGGTCCAGTCCTCTATGTGGTCCAGTCCTCTATGTGGTCCAGTCCTCTATGTGGTCCAGTCCTCTATGTGGTCCGGGAGATTGCTTTGGAGTTGTATAGAAGCAGAAAAAACGGAAGATTGTTTTATCTTTTTTTTTCCTCAACGTATTAAATATCTTTATGGCTGAAGCCGAGTAAGAGCCAAAGATGGCGGCTGGAGAAAGAAAGGCGGTATTTTATTAAACCTGTATTACAAATAATCCAAGTAACTGTAGTCACATACTATGTGGGGGGCAGGGTTAGGGTTCTGGATATTGGATGAAGCTCCCTTGACTTTGATAGAATATGTTCAATAATTCATATTAATAAAATAAACAAAATCACAAATCACATAAGTAAAACCGTCAGAGATTTGATAGATCTTCTGATCAGAGGCTTGGGAACTCCGCGCCCCCGGTCTGGACACCAGCAACCCTAAGGAGACTCGCTAACAGGGACAAGGACCTCTTTTGGTGGAGGAGGAAGCTCGCTTTGGGGAGGTTAAACCAGATGTGACACAATTATTACAGCATGCAATTCCACTGGCCGCCACTGGAGGGAGACTCAATCATACATAGCTGTCTGGACACGCACAGGAATAACTTACCCTATGGCCGGTATGGTTCATGCTGCTGGTGGGAGCAAAATGAAAGTTCCAGAACAAGATCTCGAGGATGTGAGAGAGGCTCTAGACCTTTAGCCAATCACCTTTGGAGGTGTTACCTCTCCTGCTGTGAGGACCGTTCTGGCCTCTGTGAAGTGGCTGCAGGTTATATGGACTAGCTGGTTCTGATGGTTAGGTCAGAAGTAGGATTTCCAACACCAGCACATCATCCCGATCACAGCAAGTCCAAACACTGCTGCAAGGGGGATCCAGATGACCGTTTTTTTGGTTCCTAGGTAGTTCTTTACAGCCAGAACAAATCATTTTGCACTGCCCCAGTTTGGACTATCGGAGGAAATAAGATTCATCTCCCTACAACTAATACCTTGGACTTTATTAGAGATGAAACATAATCGCTCTGATCTTTGGGAAAAGACAATCAATTGCAGATAGTTTGGCACCCAGCAGCCACAGGGTCTCAAAGGACCATTTGAAGGCTCCCCTCCCCCATAGCAAGGTGACGTGTCAAGGCTCGTTGGCAGTTGGGCATTAATTCAGCCCGGCAGTCCTGAGATCTCTTTTCTTCTAATTGTGGAAATTTGTCTGACCAATAAATAGATAAAATATCTGATATCACGTCCCCTCTAGATTTCAATATGGAAGGTATAATGAATAAAGTAGTTTGGACATTGGGTGTAGGGGACGTTGGGTGTCAGGGGCGTTGGGTGTCGGGGACGTTGAGGCGTCGGGTGCGTTGTTGACATTCTGGTCCATTTACCACTTTCTCTCTCCTTCTAGAGATTCTTCTTTGCTGGACATGGCTTCCGCCTCTCCCATCATGGTGGTGTCAGTGGTGGAAGGTTTGATAAGTTGCTCTGCACACGTCTTCCCAGAAGGTATTGTGGACAGATTATTATCTATGATGGAGATATTTCAGCTTATAAACTGCTGTCACCTGTAATGAAATTTGCCAATTGGGCCGCACGTCTAGCTCTGGAATTTCCTCTCCTCGGAGTCGTTCCCCTTAAAGATCTACATATTATTATTGAATCGCCACAACCATTCCCAACATGAGTGCCATCCTATCTCACGGCACCTCGCTCTCTCCTCAATGCTGTTACATTGTTACGGCCCAAATTTTCCAAGCACAGCGACCAGTTTCAGCATTGCTCGCCCCAACCCGGAAACCTTCAGTCAAGAGGAATGGACGCCATCTTGAGGGTGCCGGATTTCAGCATCTGTTACTTTCCATAAAGCCGTCATCACTAGCAGTGCGGGGACACGCCGTGCTTCCATCAGATAGACAACCAGTAAATGCTCCTCACTGCCTGGGGGGTAGATGGGATACAGAAATGACCCCCTCTGGTGGCCGGACATGACACTGCACACAGTGCACATACACAATAATGACCGCGTCTTCTCTCTCCTATTACAGATATAGATTTTGGAGTTCCAGAAGAAAGTGTTGCCCCCCCAGCAGCAGAATCTACACCCCAAACCTCCGAAATACCATGGAAATCCGATAGTTCTAATCTTCCCTCTTCTCCAACGCAACTGCCCTCCCCCTCCAAACCAGAAATGTGAGTGATGGAAGATTCCACCCCATATCACCCTTATATACCCTCACCCTATATATTGCCCTCCATTCCACCCCCCATATCACCCTTATATACTTTCACCCTATATATTACCCTCTATTCCACCCCCATATCACCCTTATATACCCTCACCCTATATATTACCCTCTTTTCCACCCCCCATATCACCCTTATATAGCCTCACCCTATATATCACCCTTATATACCCTCACCCCACATCACCCTTATATACCCTCACCCTATATATTACCCTCTATTCCACCCCCATATCACACTCCTGTACCCCCATTCTATATATTATCCTCTGTTACGTTCCTCGTATCTCTTTTCTTACAATGCACTCCTATAACCGTACACCTCATATTTCTGCCTTTTTCATTCCCCGGGATCATCCTCCTATATCCCCCACCACATAACATACTCTTTCTTTATTTGGTGTTTATAATAGCAGAGTAATGGGCAGTAATAAGAGTAATGGGCAGTTTTGATTTGCCGTCATCATTATTCTATTCTTTTTATAGAGATGGTGAAGCCATAAGTGATACCCAAGAACCATGTGCCAGCAAAGCAACTCTTGCAAAGATGCAGCCACCTCCTGAGGAGGGCAATACCACGGGGGCACAGGAGGAGTCCAGCCCCACAACAGCCAGAAAAGGTGAGAAGATGATTGGCTGGAATATGTCATTGCTCCATATAAGTGATCTTAAACCCCGAGCACCACTATGGAGGCAGCAATAAATCCTAGTCTTACAGTATATACTAAATATGCATAAAAAAGGGGGAAGACATCATTGTGATGATCAAACCCTCAGCCTCATCCAGCGCAAAGATTTTTCAGCTTACTGGACAACAATCTAAGCAACAGTAGACTGAGCTTGATTGTCACTAGGCAGGTGTAATCCAAAGTAGACTCTTTACACACACATATAGTATCCAGCACAATGTGTTTTCAGTGAAACAAATGCACTGTTCACATCATCTGAACTCTTAAAATAAATGTCTGTAACACATCGCTGCCACGTCCAGACAGGAATGTAACAGAGTTTAAAAGGCAGTAGCTCTTCACAGATGCAAACATTCTTTACATTTCTGATTGATGCATTCAGAGATTCAGCTTCAGAGATTCAGCTTCAGAGATTCAGCTTTATGATTTTTAAATATGAATTTAATGAAAGAAAAAAAATAATAAGCTGCAGGTTTAATCTGATATATCAGAGTCCCTAAACCTCATAAATGACTGAATGCTTCAGCCTTTGGATCCAAAGTAAGAAATCCAAACCCTAACCTCCTAACTCTACCTTCTAACCCCCTAACTCTAAATCCAAACCTTAACCCCCTATCCCTAATCTCTAAACTCTAACTTCCTAACCCTGCAGTGTTGGTGATGTGTTTAGATGAAGCTCTGAGATCCGGAGGAATGCTGAATTCAGTTTTATTGGCTTAGCAGCACATTACATGTAAACAGGAAACACATAGATGATAGATAAGCATGCACATAGAAAACTAACATACAGACTAGCTTTGGGGTTGGGGTCAGCGACATCTAGTCCCCAAAACACAATACTACATCTCTGAACGTCAGCAATACAGCCGGTGTATATCAGAATATCAGCAATATGCTGTTGCATTTCCAATATGTAGAATAATGATTATTGAGACCGTTTGTTAAAGAACTTTTAATAAAACAATGTCTTGTTTTAGTGAAGAGGCCAGCTCCTCTGCGGCCCAGTGTGCCTCCACCTGTCCAGCCTCGAGGGACCATGACCATTGAGCCATCTGATGAACTCCAGAATCCCCGGCCTATTCCAAGGAAGAATATCGGTGGCAGCTTAAAAGTGCCCAACCTGCCCCCCCCTCCAGCTCCCAAAGCTGCCAATGTAAAACCTGAGGCCAGTGATGCCGATCTCTCCAGGAAAACACCCCCCCGACCATTGCCCAGAAATCGCATTCAATCTGCAGACAACTATTGAGAAGGATTGTGCCAGCTTGTGGCTCATATCATATGAGAAGATAGGAACTGCACTGCCTGGGGCATACTGGGGGCCCACTAATACATATAGGAATATCATAGACAAGAGACACAAGGTGAATGTTCTGCACTGACATATCATTCCAATTGTGGGACTGGATCCCATCCAATAAAAACTTTATTCTTCTAAACTCTTCAGTGTCCATCTTCTCAGCCGCCACCAATCCCAAAAAGTCACGGCATGGAGAAGGTCTGTGGATCCCTTTATGTCCTGGATCGGATCAGAGGTCCTCTTTAGGTTCTCATTCTCTCTATAATATTAAAGTGGATTTGTTGTGAATGTTCTAATGATTACATCCACATTCATGTGAGCTGCACTGTCCCCACTCCCTACTACACGCGTGTAACACATCCCACCAATCGCCGCCGACTCCATGACACGGTCCCTGCTGATAGTATGCTTCAATCTCAGTGTCCCCGTGTCCACCACCCCCCTGCCGATGGCCTGTGGTTCAGTTTCAGTGTCCTTGAACTTGATGACATGGTCCCTGCTGATAACCTGCTTTAGTTCTAATGTTCTTCTCTGGCGTTGGTGGCCTTGAGCTCCATCTTCCTTGCGCAGCATTTACTAGAATTCAATATTGTGACTTCAGCATATCTAAGGACTGGAAGGTAAGGGGAGGAGGCACAGACATCATGGGATTTGAAGTGATTGGAGGGGGGAGGAGTGCTGACAATATATAACATGGTTGGTCTTTAGTGTGTTGTATGATTTCAGGGCCACCAACAAATAAAGACCATTCTGTCCCCATGAGGCTGAGTTGCAGGATGCAGAGAACTAAATGTGTTCCTCCATCAGAAGAGGTATTGGCATTGATTCCTAAAGGACACTACCTCCTGACATTCACCCGAGGGCTCCATTCATTGGGATTTATTAGTACATAGTGTGACGGACCCCCGTACTCAGGATGAGTATGTACGCCGCTGTCAGATGTATAAAGACCCAAAGTCACTGTTCAAGGAGCTCATAATGTTAGAGTTCCTCATCCCCGAACTTTAAACAATGCGTCACAGAAGAAGATACGGGTCACATGACCAAATAGACAGAAATGCATTTCATAGACAAACTTTAGTCCAAATTCTTATTTATATATAATTGAGGAGCGTATGCAGATCGCGCCCCCTCCCCCACCATGGGCTGCCAGGGGACTTTCAGGAGGCTCTCTGGGAAGATATACAGTCATGGCCACAAATCTTGGCACCCCGGCATTTCTGGAAGATAACGCACCACTTTGCGCAGAATATTGTTGCAATTACAAATGTTTCGGCCTTCACACGTTTATTTCTTTTGTTTGTATTCGTATGACACAGAAAAGTTGACAAAAAAGCCAAATCTGACATTCCGCGCAAAACTCCAAAAATGGATTGGACAAAATGATTGGCACCTCCAAATTGCATTCCAAGTTTTTGTGGAAAAGCGCGGACAATGTCAAGGTTACACGTCCATCTCCAGAGATCTTAAAGGGTTAATCACTCAGCTGCCGAAAGGTGAATAACCGAGTTAAAGTGAACAGAGCCAAACGACGTTCGGCTATCGATTCGCTCCGGCTCAGAACGGCTGATTTCATCCGTACATCCGCTGCCTTTGGTCGCCTTCGGTATTTTCATAAGGGCCAAACGGCACTGAGTGAATAGTGGGATCCCGCCGAGCGGCATTCGGCTTGTCTATTCTGCTCGGTATCTCCGCTGTACCAAGCACAATAGCAAATATGAAGCACCGAGGTGGCCAGGATGTGAGGCTGAACGGACGTCCATTGCAGCA